CCGCCTCATCGCTACCTTCACTACTTGCCTAACCCAAATAAACTAGATCTTCTTGACCTATATTTTACCCAGAGAGGTATTACAGAACTGAAGCTGGAGTTAGTGACGACATTTTGTCCGGCCGGATATTGAGTAGTGGCATTTCCTGTGGCCGGGTATATGAGCCGGTTGATCTCTGACCTCTATCAGAAACACGAGTGATCACAGCTGTGGCATGTCATCTTCGTCTAAAAAGTCAATAATATCAACATGAAACAGAGACTGGACCCTGACTGCTGTACCTCATCCACTTAGCACAAATTAAGAGTCAAATTTAATGTAGTGAATGTTGACCTAATTATCTCTAGATTAAGTTTATCTGGTGTTAAGTTAACGCATCGAGTTAACACGGGGTTTAAATGTAATTATTCTGTCATTCTTGGGTGTTACTTGTGTGTGAGCCTTTGTCAGTTAGTCCCAGGCAACAGTAGTTCGGTACACACACACACACACACACACACACACACACACACACACACACACACACACCTGCCTCCAACACCCAATAATTACCTCTCCTGTCACCTGTGTTTCCCGTCATATAAAACTGTCACACCAATTAATTTGACGTGAGCGATCACGATTAACTTATGTGGCTGACAAACTGCCAACAACAAGACGACAAATATGGTTTGGTTTGGTTAGGTTAGGTTAGTTAGGTTAGTCCCTAACACCTGTGTCTCTCTCAGTCTTAACACCTGTCTCCCTGGGGGCTGACAACACTGTGTACTTGTCGTTCGTACCTTCAGAAACAATTAATTAAGGTAAGTGAGCTTCAGTTCCCTCCTTACCGCTGCTGTCACACACAAGTTTAATGTTGTCAGCACGAGAGAGAACTTGGCCACTCAAGTGAGAAGAAATGACACAAGTGGTACATTGCAAATCGCCTTTGTTTTTCTTAACCAATTGTTCGGATATAACCAATCTGGCAAGCGTATCAACAACTTAAACAACAACAACAACAACAACAACAACAACAACAACAACAACAACAACAACAACAACAACAACAACAACAACAACAACAACAACAACAACAACAACAACAACAACAACAACAACAACAACAACAACAACAACAACAACAACAGCAAACAACAACAACAACAGCAACAACAACAACAACCTTGACAACAACAACAACAAGCAACAACAACAACAACAACAACAACAACCAACAACAACAACAGCAACAACAACAACAACAACAACAACAACAAGCAACAACAACAACAACAGCAACAACAACCCAACAACAACAACAACAACAACAACAACAGCAGCAGCAGCAACAACTTCTTAACCTTAACAACAACAACAACAACAACAACAACAACAACAACAACAACAACAACAACAACAACAACAACAACAACAACAACAACAACAACAGCGATGATGATGATGATAATAATAATAATAATAATAATAATAATAATAATAATAATAATAATAATAATAATAATAATAATAATAATAATAGGCCCAACATATCATTGTACAGTTCGCTATGACAGGTGAGGTCATAGCAGATAATGGAAGTTCAATCACACGGTAGGTTAGGTTAGGTTAGGTGAAGCACATTTTTTGGGGGAGTGTTTTAACGTCTTCTAAAAGGTTCCAGGATGCCTTGAGTAGGTCACCTCTGCTTCCCTCCTCCAGTTTTAGGGGCAGGAACCTGGAGAGACCCGAGGCAGGTAGCGCAATGAAATGAGACACTTGAGAGATACTGCCTGGCCATAACCTGACTCTGTGAAACACAAGTGTGAGTTTGTTTCCGTCTCAGCCACCTAACTTAACTTAACTTAACCTAAACCTGACCTAAACCTAACCTAATCTAAATAAAACAACAAATGTTACCATATACGATATAATTTCCAAGAAGTTATAGCAATATAAAGAAGTTATCCCCATCTGGCAATAAGTTCTTTTCCCTTTTAAGGCTTAACTCTCTCTCTCTCTCTCTCTCTCTCTCTCTCTCTCCTGTCTCCCTAATTAACAAATGCTCTATAAGTGGCTCTCCTAGGACAAGAAAAACATCCTCTAGTGGCCCAGGTAGGTTACTCACAAGCCTCCTCAGGGCTAGCAATGATCCTAAGAAAAAGTCAATATCGCTAATTCCGAGTTCCTGAAATTCCCTCACGGCTTCACGGCAGCTCGACTCTCCTCCTCGGGTCTCAAATGGTGAATCTTTAGTGGTGTTAATGTATGTATGTATGTATGTATGTATGTATGTCTGTATGTATGTATGTATATATGTATGTATGTATATTGTATTATGGGAGGCGTATTTCTATTATGTGTTAAGAACTCTCTCTCTCTCTCTCTCTCTCTCTCTCTCTCTCTCTCTCTCTCTCTCTCTCTCAGCCAGATATTTTGTCTTTCAGTTAACTCAAATATTCAGTCGTTATATACTGTGTTTTATATATGTGAGAATATCAGTAGAGTCAAATACCAGACTTCTGTTGGTGACCTTTGTGTGTGTGTGTGTGTGTGTGTGTGTGTGTGTGTTGGAGGAAATAAACAGACAGACAGACAGACAGACAGAGACAGAGGCAGAAACTAGACTTGATTTCAGTTCTTTATCGGGTATATAAAAAAATGTATTCGTAAGATTATCTAAGACACTCAATAATGACTTAACAAATCCAACACACACTCAGTAGTAAGAGTGGCTGTGTTGTTCTGCCTAGATGAGTGAACCAACAACAAAATCACATAAATTCCAAGTAAAACATTAATACAAAATAAATTATTATTTCTTATACACTGTGGCAGTATTTAATGTATTCACCTAACTTTATCAAATTCGTTTCTCTCTCACATTTACGTAGGGTGGAACAGAGGGAAGAGAATAAGGAATAGGGAAGCAAGGAAAGTGAGAGGGGGGTAGAAAAATTCGTCAGCAGATAACACGTATTCGTCAGCAGGTAACACGTATTCGTCAGCAGATAACACGTATTCGCCAGCAGATAACATGTATTCGTCAGCAGATAACACGTATTCGTCAGCAGGTAACACGTATTCGTCAGCAGATAACACGTATTCGTCAGCAGGTAACAGGTATTCGTCAGCAGATAACACGTATTCGTCAGCAGATAACACGTATTCGTCAGCAGGTAACACGTATTCGTCAGCAGGTAACACGTATTCGTCAGCAGGTAACAGGTAAGTTTAACATAGGTGAGCCGCACAGGTAAACACGATGAGAATTCAATTAAATGTTAAGGTATGTAAATCAGGTGTAAATTACCTGATGGATTATTTGAATATTAATTAATCTGTGTAAGAGAGAAGATCATTGGCTGGTGATATAGGAGAGGCGATCATTGGTTGGTGAGGTGTGTAAGAGAGACGATAATTGGTTGTTGATTATATAAGAACGACGATCATTGGTTGACACTGTATTCAGTCGTCATTAATTGATTAAAGTTATAATCACTGTTATCAGAGGAAAAAAAGATCAGAGGAGGAAAAAAAAGATCAGAGGGGGAAAAAAAGATCAGAGGGGGAAAAAAAGATCAGAGGGGGAAAAAAAGATCAGAGGGGGAAAAAAAGATCAGAGGAGGAAAAAAAAGTCAGAGGAGGAAAAAAAAGATCAGAGGGGGAAAAAAGATCAGAGGAGGAAAAAAAAAGAAGAAGAAGAAGAAGAAGAAGAAGAAGAAGAAGAAGAAGAAGAAGAAGAAGAAGAAGCGACATGACTACAAGCGATTGGAATTTCTGTTATTATTCACATGGTAATTATTTTTTCCTCCCATAACTGAAGGAATTTATCTGAGGTAAAATTAGGGTATTATTAACGCTGTAATTTATTCCTATATTAAACTAATTGTTCACTACTTCACCGCCACACCAAGCTGAACCGCTGATAACCTAATTAAGAAACCTTCAAAATATTGGCCGGTATACAAAAAACTATTGATGTGATATTATATAAATGTATTGACTATTAACTGTTTCACAAAGTGGATTAATCCATATTATCCAAACTCACTTAGAAGGGATAACTGGATTAAACTTGACTCCACTGATCTGGATGACTCGGGTTTACCAAGTTAGAGCGGCAAGGTTATGTTACATCCTGAGGCTGAGTGTGTTAAGATTAATCAGTGAAAACAGAACCTTTGGAAGTTTGACTCGTAAATGTTGCGTTAACGGGATGGTATAACTATCAGGGTACAGGATGGTATAGCTATCAGGGTACAGGATGGTATAACTATCAGGGTACAGGATGGTATAACTATCAGGGTACAGGATGGTACAACTATCAGGGTACAGGATGGTACAACTATCAGGGTACAGGATGGTATAACTATCAGGGTACAGGATGGTATATCTATCAGGGTACAGGATGGTACAACTATCAGGGTACAGGATGGTATAACTATCAGGGTACAGGATGGTATAACTATCAGGGTAGAGGATGGTATAACTATCAGGGTACAGGATGGTACAACTATCAGGGTACAGGATGGTATAACTATCAGGGTACAGGATGGTATAACTATCAGGGTACAGGATGGTATAACTATCAGGGTACAGGATGGTATAACTATCAGGGTACAGGATGGTATAACTATCAGGGTACAGGATGGTACAACTATCAGGGTACAGGATGGTACAACTATCAGAGTAGAGGATGGTACAACTATCAGGGTAGAGGATGGTAAATGCGGTATAACACTTGACTTGTACTGTAAGGGTAAACCTATTCAACACTGACTCAACCCTGAAGTAGAAAAGCTGTCAGTGAGGTGATCAACTCCACGTAATAAATATAATATATCAATTGTTTTCTCAAGTTTTAATTATTGAAGGTGAGACTATCAAGGTTAACCCAGGTGGCAACATATGATGATATATGTATTAATGATTATATCTACTAATGGAAACTGGTTGTAAACAAGCTGTCGATCACCTAGTGCGGTAAATACGTCTCGTGTAATTGATGTGTGACCTACATCTTTTGTATCAATTATATGTGTTTTGTGTCACATATTTTAAAGAAGAAAAGTTTAATTTATGTTTTTGTTCTATTAAATTGTTCATGCTAAATAAAGCTTATGTCGTAGAGAAACTTTAATAATGTAGTTAAGCAATTTGAACCAAAGAGATATTTCAATGGATAAATTTCCTCGACTGTATACTGTACTTACTTCTTGTGAAATAAAAATGTTCACTTACCCAGAATAGGCAAACTGTACTCCAAGCTTTATCAATAAATTTGTTAAACTAAAAAAAAAAACTCTTTAAATATCTCCAGGAATTATGAAGGCAATTTCCCCATAATATCCTACAAGCTCAAATGATTGTTCGTTCATTTTCTATATAACGTTAATAAGACTCACAACTAAATGTAAATAACAAAGAAGTCTTCCCCGGGGGTTCACTGGACTCGGCCGCTGGGTAGAATTACACAGTTCAACGTCACTCCACCTCTGCAGCTTAGCTCTGCCATAGCCCAACTAAGAGCATCATTAGACCTGTCCTTCCTCAACAAGGTTCCACTTATATAAAACAAATAATTGTTCAGGGTTATTGACTCGGCATAGTGCGTGGATACTGGGTGGGGGGGGGTGTCATAATAATCCACTTGTATCCAACATGACAGCCATTAGTGTCCTTCACATCACATCCAACCACATGTGACCTACTGTACTACTTTAACCTAACCTAACCTGTAACAATCCTGACTTTAACCTAACCTAACATAACCTGTAACAATCCTGACTTTAACCTAACCTAACCTGTAACAATCCTGACTTTAACCTAACCTAACATAAGCAACGTGACCTAACCTAACCTACGTGACCTAACCTAACCTACGTGACCTAACCTAACCTACGTGACCTAACATCCCCTAACCTAAGTGCCCTAACCTAACCTACGTGACCTAACCTAACCTAATTTAAACTAATCTACCACAGTTCAAAACCAACTTAACCTAACCTATCACAAACTTGACTTAAACTTAAAACATGCACACTAAATAAACATAACTTTTCTTAAACCTTTAGTCAAGCGTAACTACACCTAACCTAACCTAACCAAACTAACCTAACCTAACTTAACTTCACGTCCTTAACCTAATCTAGCTCAACTAACCTAACCATACCTAGCTTAAGGTTAACGTATGTATAACTTACCCTAACATGACCCATCCGACACTTAACCTCATCAACGACACAGAATTCCTCCTCTCTGAGTTGAGCCAGACTTTACCCAGCGTCGAGACACACATTATCAATCTATTAAACTAATTTCTACTCACATGACACAGTGACACGGAAATCCTGAACTGCCAGTCGGGTTGGTAGTCACTAAGGAAGATACACATTCATGATATCTCTCAGAAGTCAAGAAGGTATGACTGGGGTAGAGTAAACACGTCACTGATTCACTCTACAGCTACTAAGAGAGACAATGGGACCACACTATACACACAGAGATGTTCAGACGCTGGTTACTAACGGCACAAAGATTTAAAGGGGATGACAACACAAACCTGAAGAAAATTAGAAACATTTCAAACGGAACTTGAAAATATTTATAACTTTTTCGAATCAAATCTACATATAGAAGTAAGTCACATAATTCCTGCCTTTAGATAAACGAGTGCATCACCAGACCCCCACGAAACGCACTCTACCCCGACCCTGAGACTACTGGTTGACTATCACACACTCTACCCCCTGAGACTACTGGTTGACTGAGACTACTGGACCCTGAGACTGGTTGACTATCACACACTCTACCCCGACCCTGAGACTACTGGTTGACTATCACGCACTCTACCACGACCCTGAGACTCCTGGCTGACTATCACACACTCTACCACGACCCTGAGACTCCTGGTTGACTATCACACACTCTACCCCGACCCTGAGACTACTGGTTGACTATCACACACTCTACCCCGACCCTGAGGCTCCTGGCTGACTATCACACACTCTACCCCGACCCTGAGGCTCCTGGCTGACTATCACACACTCTACCCCGACCCTGAGGCTCCTGGCTGACTATCACACACTCTACCACAATACTGCAATCCTGAATCACAATATGGCGTGTCACAGTGTGTTGGAGGGGGGAAGGAAGGGAGGGAGGGAGTCACAGTGTGTTGGAGGAGAGGGAGGGAGGGAGTCACAGTGTGTTGGAGGAGAGGGAGGGAGGGAGTCACAGTGTGTTGGAGAGCGTTAGGCAAGCAGGGAGGGAGGGAGGGAGGTAACGTGTTCTCAGAGTGACCCAATATTAAACACACTCACTGCTAATAATGGGACTTCGCCATAGACAGAAACTCCAATCGTCCTCACAATATACAACCAAGATACAGTTTTCCGGTGAATATTGAAAGTGTAGAAACATTCTCGGTTACTTACTGTAGTCGTTTTGAGCACAGAGGCCAGGCATGACTCACGGCGAAGATCTGAGAGTGAGAAGTAAAGGTTCTAGATACGTGAAGGAGGACAAGACAGGCCGGCAACCATGACCCATCACTGGTCCTTGACACAGTTGATATTAATTAACTTTAGTGAGATGACTAAACGCAACGAACCGACGCCACAATGAACACGAATCGTCATATATATTAGGCTTGTCGCTTTACTGTCACTCAGCTCAGCATATTCCCAGGGATTATGTCGAGAGTTTTGTTGTGTGTTTTAAAAGATGAGAGACTCTACCTTCAAACTTTATTGCCTTCACCCGTGACTAGATCAACAAGCTCTGCTAAAGAGAGTTAGGAAATTTTCGTGGGATATTTGGCTACTGCTAGCGTACCGAGTCCTGAGGTCACCTGAAGAAGCCACATACATCGAAGAGTTTATCATTTACAACTCACTCTGGCACATACATACATTCTAGTGACCCGTCAGTAAGATAACCTGGTGTGTCTGGGGTGATGTGTTTCGCGGTAAGGGTGATGATGACACACCCACACAGCCTCCTCACCATCACACACCCAGCCTCCTCACCATCACACACCCACACAGCCTCCTCACCATCACACACCCAGCCTCCTCACCATCACACACCCAGCCTCCTCACCACATCCCTTTACACCAGCCTCCTCACCATCACACACCAGCCTCCTCACCATCACACACAGCCTCCTCATCATCACACAACCTCCTCTGTCACCCACCCAGCCTCCTCCACCATCACACCCCAGCCGCTCCTCACCATCACACACCCAGCCCCTCCTCACCATCACACACCCAGCCTACTCACCATCACACACACAGCCTCCTCACCATCACACACACACAGCCTCCTCACCTTCACAGCTCCCATACTAAAGTGAATAATCGTTGGGATGATAAACTTAAGTCATATTTCATTACGTTTTGGGAATACCAGAATATTAGCTCCTCCCTCAGCCTTATTCATCTGATGACTTAACACCCTAACGCTGCCTGGGTAGGGTAGGGTAGGGTGGGAGGAGGGACGGAGGAGGAGTGGGGTAGGGTGGGGTGGGGTAGGGTAGGGAGGTAGGGGAGGAGGGAGGAGGAGGAGAGTAAAGATCAGGTCAGATCCAGGTCAGGCTAGGAGTAGAATGAGGCTGGGAGTAGGGTAGAATGAGAATGAGATGAGAGATGGGAGTGAGCAGAGATGGCCAAATCTCTTGTTTTCTAATTCTTTAATACTTAACATTTCTTACAGGTTTTCATGACAAATTTTTATATAAATATACCATGAAGACACTAGACATTATTTATAAGAATTCCTTTATGTTCTTATTTGTTTATTACCGTCAATACTGTTCTGTGTTCACTATCTAGACTTCATTCATTTTCTCAACAAATATTGGGAAAATAATGGAGTTTTCTGTAGTCACTCATAACTTTAACTTTTCTCGTATTTTTCTTTTTTTGTAAATTTATAAGTTTGACGAAAACAAACTGCTCTCTCTCTCTCTCTCTCTCTCTCTCTCTCTCTCACGTGTTTTACGGATAATTACAACATAATAATATATTAATACTTCTGAGTCTCTTCTATATTTTGAACTGAACTGAAGTGTACACAGAGTAGTCTAGCGATTATCAACCTAACTTAATATAAACTAATGTATATATAGATTAGTTTGGCCAAGGTCGTGAAGAACGTTTTAAAATTAAATTAAAAGTTGACTTGAATAATTACGCGCCTCCCATACAAGGGATAACAAATTATGTCCTTATCATATGAGAGGTTCGCTGCGCCATCACCTTTAATTGAACGCGTGGAATTACATTGTGTATAGACTCATATACCCTGTGCTAAAAGAACAACATCGTCTTTACTACAATAACAACAAGTTCAAGAACACATTGAACCAGGCTAGAGAGATCCCGCTACTCAGAGAAGTTGATAATTTTAATCACTATGAAAACAGCGAAGACTGTGTTATGACCACACCACTAGGACACTCTGGCCAGACACTGACCACACCACAATGACACTATGGCCGGACACTGATCACACCACTATGACACTATGGCCGGACACTGACCACACCACTATGACACTATGGCCGGACATTGACCACACCACTATGGCCGGGCACTGACAACACCACACCACACCACTAGAACACTCTGGCCGGACACTGACCACACCACTATGACACTATGACCGGACATTGACCACACCACACCACACCACTAGAACACTCTGGCCGGACACTGACTAATAAATGTGATATATAACGTGTATGGCGGGGCATAGCTAAGTGCTGTTGGTGAGCGGATAGATGTCAGGTTAACCAACAAACCTTGAAAATGATGCTCCAACTTAAGCCTCTGTAATACGTGAGGTGCGGACACTTAAATATCCTAACCCATCCTGACCTAATCCAACCCATCCTGACCTAACCCAACCCATCCTGATCTAACCCAACCCATCCTGATCTAACCCAACCCATCCTGATCTAACCCAACCCAACCTGATGTAACCCAACCCAACCTGACGTTACCCAACCCATCCTGACCTAACCCAACCCATCCTGATCTAACCCAACCCATCCTGATCTAACCCAACCCATCCTGATCTAACCCAACCCAACCTGATGTAACCCAACCCAACCTGACGTTACCCAACCCAACCTGACCTAACCCAACCCATCCTGATCTAAACCCAACCCATCCTGTCCTAACCCAACCCAACCTGACCTCACTTACGCCGACCTAGCCTCACCTAACGTACTGTATAGCTTAACGAGACAGTAAGAATAGTGATACATAAACAGTTCCAACACTCACTTGAAGACAGTTAGTTGTCAACAGTCCCAGGAGGCGGTGGAGAGACGCGGTATAACACCTACTGTATATGCTCACTTGGGACATTAACCTGCTGCTACGGCACTCGTGTTAACAGCGCTAAGTCTCTAGTATAGCCAAGATTATACTTCTTAAGGGATATACTGTTGTAGTTTCTTGGAAATATGATCGTCTTGTCGGACTGATCTTGCTGATACACTGTGAGATATGACCCGGGCGAAGGGTTACACTGGCAGTAAACCGTGACCTCACTACCAGGAGTCGTCACATAATCATAAGTGAAACAAGTGTATTCAAATTCCCCCCAGTAGCGTTGTGTGAGTAGCCTTAGCAGGTGACTCACTCTTCTCCCGTATACGCTGTGTGTTGTAACCCCCCTCTCTCTCTTTCTACTCTCCTCTCACACCGCCGAGAAGAGTGACAGACATAGACGAGAGTTGGTGTGGCTGGATGACGGAGCAACACTACTGGTCTACACGACGGACGAACCCCGAGTGAGAGCATGCCCCGCCCCGCCCTCTTTTACACCGCGCCGCCGCTTGCCTCTTGCCACCCACACACACCCTCCCGCCACCCACACACACACCCAGCCATATACACCCTCCCCACCTCCCTGCCACACATATACTCTCCGCCCGCCCTTGCCACCCACACACCCTCCCAATCCTGTCCCCTACCACCCCATACTCACCCAACCACACACACCCACCCCTTGCCAGTGCCCACACTCACCCAACCACCCTGCCACACACACACACATCCCTCACCCCTGCCATCACCCACCCCGCCCTCTGTCATCACCCACCTTTTACCCCACACCTGCCACTCAAACAAACCCCGCCCCGCCACCCACACAGCCTCGCCCCTGCCACCCACACCCACACCGCCTCGCCCCCTGCCACCCAGGCTACTTAGAAATGAATATAAATGTCATAAGCAACACAGTGACTGGTAGGATAACATCCGACAATAATGGTAGGGCTTAAAAATATTTATATATAGATTATATGTAGTGAGCAACATACAATTAGTTAGAGAACCTTGTCCTCCATATTCCTGCTGTGTTATATGGTCAGTTTTTGCCCTGCCCACTAGAGGTAATTTATGATTGTAGATAAACGAAATACAATAAAAAAAATCCTTAAAATTCAAATAAAAGTTGTATCAATCTAATTAGTTAATACCATCCAAAGAACAACTGTAGAAAATATGAACAATTCCACAAACTACTTCACGAGGGTAGGTGAAAACAGACGGCACGCTGTGACTGGCAGATTTATCGGGTTGAGTTTTTACGCTAAGTAACCCAAAAATTTTAAATATCTCGCTTACATGTAATTTGCGATCGAAATGTCATAAGAAAAAATGATAGAGAAGGGCGAGTTCTACCTATAGCAGATATTCAATTGCAAACATCTTTTGAGAGTTCACTTGTAAAAGAATACAGATTTAACATACCAATTTAGACTGGAAGTAGTGTATAGATCAGGGCAGCACCAACAACAGAAACATCAAGTCTCAGCAACAGACAAAGTTTATCCACGTTCACTTTACTTTTCTTTATCTTACATTATTCTCTTCGCCAGTGATCGGCCTGCTGTCTCTTGGGCAGTTGGTAACGTCTGCTACATTATTTGATAAGTATTGGCTTTCTGTTACATAACTATTGACAAGTTCTGGCATTGTACTGACTCCAGAATGTATTTGTAACTGTGCCAGTGTTAGTCAAGTCACAACACTGTGGTAAATTGTTCCGAGAGTTTACAATCTCACTCTAAAAAAGTTTGTCTTTATAGTTTTCTAAAGGCTTACCACTAATCACGGTCACTCGGTCAACAGCATAGCGAGTACTAGTCACGGTCACTCGGTCAACAGCATAGCGAGTACTAGTCACGGTCACTCGGTCAACAGCATAGCGAGTAGATCATAAGCTCAGCAAAATACTCAGAGAGGAAAGTTAAAGGACTCATAAACCATCATTAATAATCTGGAGATGTAATTTAAGAGCTGAACCATAGATGGCGGTGTAATAGTACAGGGTTAAAACAGCTTCGGTAGGGAGGCACAGGTTAAAGAACAGTCACAGAGGTTAAAGAACAGTCACAGAGGTTGAGGAACAGTCACAGAGGTTAAAGAACAGTCACAGAGGTTGAGGAACAGTCACAGAGGTTGAGGAACAGTCACAGAGGTTGAGGAACAGTCACAGAGGTTAAAGAACAGTCACAGAGGTTGAGGAACAGTCACAGAGGTTGAGGAACAGTAACAGAGGTTGAGGAACAGTAACAGAGGTTTAGAAACAGTCACAGGTTGAAGAACAGTCATAGAGGTTGAAGAACAGTCAGGTTGAGGAACAGTCACTTGAGGAACAGTCACAGGGTTGAGGAACAGTTTGAGGAACAGTCACAGAGGTTGAGGAACAGTCACAGAGGTTGAGGAACAGTCATTGAGGAACAGTCATAGAGGTTGAAGAACAGTCACAGAGGTTGAGGAACAGTCACAGAGGTTGAGGAACAGTCACAGAGGTTGAAGAACAGTCAAGAGGTTGAGGAACAGTCACAGAGGTTGAGGAACAGTCATAGAGGTTGAGGAACAGTCACAGAGGTTGAGGAACAGTCATAGAGGTTGAGGAACAGTCATAGAGGTTGTGGAACAGTCACAGAGGTTAAAGAACTGTCACAGAGGTTGAGGAACAGTCACAGAGGTTAAAGAACCAGTCCTGAGGTTGATGAACAGTCCATAGAGGTTGAAGAACAGTCACAGGAGTTGAAGACAGTCATAGAGGTTGAGGAACAGTCACAGAGGTTGAAGAACAGTCCACAGAGGTTGAGGAACAGTCATAGAGGTTGAGGAACAGTCATAGGAGTTGTGGAACAGTCATAGAGGTTGAGGAACAGTCATAGAGGTTGTGGAACAGTCACAGAGGTTAAAGAACTGTCACAGAGGTTGAGGAACAGTCACAGAGGTTAAAGAACAGTCACAGAGGTTGAGGAACAGTCACAGAGGTTGAGGAACAGTCACAGAGGTTGAGGAACAGTCATAGAGGTTGAGGAACAGTCATAGAGGTTGTGGAAGTCATAGAGGTTGAGGAAGAGGGCAGGTTATGGGGGGTAAATCAAATCAGGTTATGGTATAGTGGTCGGGGCAGGTTACAGTTTATGGTAGGTAGGCCAGGGCAGGTTATGGAAGGTAGGTCAGGGCAGATTATAGAGGAGGGGGGTGAAGGTAGAGTTACGTTGATGGAGAAGCTGACTTAACAGCTCCATCAGGAGTCTCTCTGGTTTTTCTTCATTTACGACCTTTACACCTACTTGTTATCAAACTTTTTACATACTGTATTTTTTTACGTTTTTTTACCACTTGGGACGTCACCTCGCCCTATCTGCTCGTGTGACGGAAGGTAGAGGAGCCAGGGGCGGAGGGGCGAGGAGGCCAAGGGGTGGAGGGAGGCCAGGGCGGAGGGGCGGGAGGCCAGGGGCGGAGGGAAGGAGGGACCAGGCGGAGGAGCGAGGAGGCCTAGGGCGGAGGCGAGGAGGGCCAAGGGGCAGAGGGAGAGGAGGCCAGGGGCGGAGGAGCGAGGAGGCTCCCAGGGGTGGAGGGCAGGGGCCAGGGGCAGAGGGCGAGGAGGCCAAGGGTGGAGGGCGAGGAGGCCATGGGGCGGACGGGAGAGGAGGCCAGGAGCAGAGAGGCGAGGAGGCGAGGGGTGGAGGGTAGAGGAGGCCAGGGGTGGAGGGGCGAGGAGGCGATGGGGAGAGGAAGCCAACAGACCGTCGTTAAGGGCAACATCCTCACTATGTTCATTATTTCCGCCAGTTTGTGTCGGGTCGCTGGACTTTGCTAAGATGTTAAAGCTAATAAGTTTAAGTAATGAAAAAAAAAAAATAACATGGTCATTTTTTCCCATAAACAGGTTATGTCGTGTAGTGATCGTTAATTTATATTTTTCCTGACATTAAGGTGTTGTTTGCAGGTGTGTAGGTTATATAATTTAGAACAGTGGACAGGTGTGTACAGGTGTCTTAGATACATAAGTTAGAACAGTTGACAGGTGTGTTCCCAACCTAACCTAACCCATCCTAACCTAACCTACAAATATGTTGACTTCGCACTAGAACCAGGAAGTGAATGTTACCTGGTGAGTGACTGTTACCTGGTGAGTGATTGTTACCTGGTGAGTGACTATTACCTGGTGAGTGACTGTTACCTGGTGAGTGACTGTTACCTGGTGAGTGACTGTTACCTGGTGAGTGACTGTTACCTGGTTAGTGACTGTTACCTGGTGAGTGACTGTTACCTGGTGAGTGACTGTTACCTGGTGAGTAACTGTTACCTGGTGAGTGACTGTTACCTGGTGAGTGACTGTTACTGGTGAGTGACTGCTACGTGGTGAGTGACTGTTACCTGGTGAGTGACTGTTACCTGGTGAGTGACTGTTACCTGGTGAGTGACTGTTACCTGGTGAGTAACTGTTACCTGGTGAGGACTGTTGCCTGGTGAGATTGTTACCCGGTGAGTGACTGTTACCTGGTGAGTGACTGTTACCTGCGAGTTGTTACCTGGTAGTGAATGCGGTAGTGACTGTTACCTGGTGAGTGACTGTTACCTGCGGTGAGTGACTGTTACCTGGTGAGTGACTGTTACTTGGTATGTTACTGTTACCTGGTGAGTGACTTGGTGAGTGACTGTTACTTGGCTGACTGTGAGTACCTGTGAGTGACCTTGGTGAGTGATTGTTACCTGGTGAGTGACTATTTGGTGAGTGACTGTTACCTGGTGAGTGACTGTTACTTGGGTGGTGACTGTTACCTGGAGTGACTGTTACCGGTGAGTGACTGTTACTTGGTGAGTGACTGTTACTACCTGGTGAGTGACTGTTACCTGGTGAGTGATGATTTGGTGATGACTGTTACTTGGTGGTGACTTACTATGAGTTACCTGGTGAGTGAGTGGCTTACCTGGTGAGTGACTTACCTGGTGAGTGACTGTTACCTGTGAGTGACTGTTACTGAGTGACTGCTACTTGGTAAGGACTGTTGCTTGGTGAGTGACTGTTTCCTGGTGACTTGTTACCTAGTGAGTGAGTACCTGGTGACTGACTGTTACCTGGTGAGTGACTGTTACTTGGTGAGTGAGTTACTTGGTGAGTGACTTACCTGGTGAGTGACTGTTACCTGGTGAGTGACTGTTACCTGGTGAGTGAGTTACCTGGTGAATGAATGTTACCTGGTTGACTGTTACCTGGTGAGTGAGTTACTTGGTGAGTGACTTACCTGATGAGTGACTGTTACCTGGTGAGTGAGTTACCTGGTGACTGACTGTTACCTGGTGACTGACTGTTACCTGGTGAGTGACTGTTACTTGGTGAGTGAGTTACTTGGTGAGTGACTTACCTGGTGAGTGACTGTTACCTGGTGAGTGACTGTTACCTGGTGAGTGAGTTACCTGGTGAATGAATGTTACCTGGTGAGTGACTGTTACCTGGTGAGTGAGTTACTTGGTGAGCGACTTACCTGATGAGTGACTGTTACCTGGTGAGTGAGTTACGTGGTGAATGACTGTTACCTGGTGAGTGACTTACTTGGTGAGTGAGTTACTTGGCAAGTGACTTACCTGGTGACTGCTACTTGCTGAGTGTGGTGTTACCTTGTCACTCCTGTCACACCCACAGTAACTGAAGCATCTCTTTGTCACACTTATAGTAACTGAAGCATTACCTCCTCTGATTATCACCAAGACCCTCTAGATGCCCATGCAGTCACCTTGTTAGCATCACCAGGTAATAATCACCTTGTTAGCATCACCAGGTAGTAATCACCTTGTCACACCTATAGGGTACAAGAAGGAAGTTTTTAAGAAAGGTTATTAAAACACACATTACCACTGATTCATTATTTATAAAAATATTAAAAAACTTATGACACCTATACTGTACTGTATTCTTATCTGTGATCTAAAACAGTCCATAAAATGCCATCTTTTGTGTAAGAATATTTCATGATATGTTTAATGTGTAGATCTTTTTGTGGTCATGTTGATTTATTCTGATTTTCATAATTTTGTATTTTTTAAACTTAAGACAAAATATTGGTAATTGTTAAAAACTTAATATTGTATCTTGAATCAGAACTTAAAAAGCATTTTAAAAAATCTAGTTTTTGTCACCATAACTTAAAATAAACTTCATTGATTTACTAAATCTTCAGTTACAATTTCTTTACATATAGACTGGAGTTAATACTCAATTTATATGAAGGAACAGTGTAGCACAGGGACACAAACACGTCGTTCACTAGTGACTGGTAGCTAGCTGTCTGCCAAGGAGTAATATCTCTCATTAAAACTTGGAAAAATGGCTGTATTCCTATGATAAAAAAAAAGGTGAATGGTCTGACACAAGGGTCAGCATTGTGACAGAAAAATGCATCACTGCCTTTTATTATAAATAAAATTGTCCAACCAACATTACATCTTTTTACTCCATGTGAATAAAGTTCCCACTGATGTCTACAACCAAATGAATTGATATATACAAAAAGGTAGAGAATTATTTTGCCGAGAGGAATTGCCTTTGGATAAGGCATCACAAAAACTGTGACCAAGTCCCAGGTTGGTGATCTGACACACAGTTGCAGGGTCTCAATTGTTTCTTTTACTTTGACAACACAACATATACTGAATATCGTTTCTCACTCTTAAGCCGTTATATTTTTTCTATTTCTCTATTAATTTATGTGATTTTTTTTCCACCCCTCAGGCCCTGATGTGGGTCGGTGACCTGTGTATGGGTGGGCTAATCCCCGTAAAAGTAATAAATAAATAAAATAAAAAAATAGTCGTAATGACAAACGATGGTGTGCAAGCAATGATCAGGTGGCATGCCAGTTTCATTGTGATGTGTAAAGCAGACACTCATTTCTTGAACTACCACTGTATCATTATCAACAGGCACTTTGTGGGGTTTGATCACCTATCTCTCCTGTTATTAGACTTGTTAATTTGATTCATACAAGGGCCAAAGAGGATTCAAGTTTCAAGTCCTTTCTGGATGAACTGTTAGCCGAGTATAGTGATTTATTGCTGCACTAAATCGGATGGCTTAGCAAAGTAAAAATACTGTGTCAATTTGTTTGACTCTTACTAGAAATTAAAGCTTTCATGGAGTCAAGAAATAAAGATACTGTACTTCCCAATTATCACACAAATTGAATGACCTCAACTGTAGAGTGGAAGAGAAGCAGAAGACAATGATTAGTGCAGTGAAAGGTTGCAAGTGGAAACTTAACCTTCTGGTATACCAAGTCCAGAAAAAAATATATATATTTTCCCTCTGCTCCAAATACTAGCAGCAAATGAGACTGATGTCAGGATCATGGACACTAATAAGTACAATGATTTCCTGACCAGTTTTGGACAGGAGTTCCATGACAGATCTAGTGATGGAGCCCTGTGTCATGTTTATTACAAAGCCCTTCATGGTAGTGGACGTTAGTAAAATTTTTGAACAAATTAGTGTGATGTTTGGCCTTTGGAAATGGTGACTATCAACCTTCAAAATAACATTCAGTTGAAATCAAGGCAATCTGCCACAAGGTTCTGGAGCCTCGTGATACTGAAAGACACAGCAACATCCGGGAGGTAGGAATGACAGTGGCTTCCCTGTTTGGCTCTACCTCTTCCAACATGAACTGTATCTGAATGTCTCCTCTCAGGATACACACTAAAGTACAGTACACAACACAGGTGGTACAGCATGCAGTGGCAAGCTTTTCACTTTAGTAAAGATAAAAATCAAATTTCCTTCACTTTAAATGTATATTTTTGTAACTGAACTGTAGTGAATAATTTTGTACTCTCATCAATTCATATACAGTATGTACTGTATTTCCAACTTATATTTTAGTAGCTCTTGAAACTTTTCATTAGTCAAAAGTAACTCTTATTTAAGAAAGGGTTGGTGACCCCTGGTCAAGCATCACACGACAAAATACTCAGCGCTTTAAGTGTTGTTTCACAAGTTCTTCTACTGACAATGTTGATGATTTTACTGCTACTCTTACATCACTCTGGTGTTTAAAAGTAAAGACAAGTGTTCTGATGGTACGGCGGTATGCTTTATTAACCAGCCTTCGAGTTGCCTGGTACACATCCCGCTCTATGTACTCTGCAAGTGCTTCAACCTTAACTTTGCTGCTGTCCTTTACATCCTTCTGTTTCTTTTTTGTTTTACTTTTTTCTTCATCTCTTTGTATTTCTTCTTTGTTAGTTACCTGATCCTCACTTGAACTGTCCCCACTTTCAGTCTTCATCAGGGCATCAAATATCATTCGTCTGGCTGTGTCACGAAAACCCTGAGTCTTAGGATCACACTTCACCTCCAGCAGTGGTCTGTTGACTTTGCTGAGCACGTGATCCTTCCACAACCCGTACACCTCCTTGGCTGCTGCTGCCACGTCTGCATCCTTCGCCTTACACAACTTGTGCACTGTTTTACCTGAAATTGTGAAATAAGAAATAAAACACCAACAAAAAAGTAAACTGTTTTTTTACTAACACTTTAAGACAAAACAAAAGTGTAGTAGAAGATTTTATAACATGTTACTTTTCCAGGAAATATAAAACATTAAACAGAGGGAGAAAAGCCTTTCATGGTAAAGAATCATTTGTTTCTTATAGTTGTGGAGTATGATAAGTTTTTATAGTACAGTTATCCCTCGTTTAATGACGGGGATGTGCTCCTGAAAATTTAACATTAAGCTAAATTATCGCTGAACGGGGATAATGGGCAATAAAACCTGTGGAGATGGCAGGTAATCATTATTGTACAATACTCTAGTGTGGCAGCTTAGAGATAAAGGAAATATAATATAAAACTTTAAAATAAGAGAAATGAAGAACATGGGTGTGTGTATGTATGACAAGTTACCAAACTAGACTGTCCCTGTAGCTACACCCCCCCTACACCTCACCCTACCTGGGCCAAATTGATCATAAGGTCAAAAGAATAAAGGGAATAAACATTTCTTACGTGTGGTAGTTAGCACACAGCATGGGGGGGTAGGTGCAATGCAGTATTTATTCTTTTATTTTATTTATTTTTATTTATTCCTTACATTTAGTGATACAGTATACACTTAACACAGTTCAACCGGGCGATGAATCAAGACACGTGTGTGACTGCTGACTGTGACGTCATATGGGGAAGGAGGGAGAGTGTGGCTGACTGCAGTTACAGCTCACTGCCTCAATACACACACACACACCCATGTTCTTCATTTCTATTATTTTAAAGTTTTATATTATTTTTCTTTATTTCTAAGCTGCCACACTAGAGTATTGTACAATAATGATTATTCCACAACTTTTATAGTTTCATTATACAGTATTCCCTTAAAACTCGGGTGTTTTAAAGCTCGCCATGGAAAATAAATAAAACAAATCTGAGGCTGTGTGCCAGGGATCAAGAGGAGTCAACACTACATAGCACTATATTTCCCAAGACGTAAGATGCACTCTACAAGGTACATTTGGAAAAAAAAAAATTGCAAAATCACTGGCTATATGCTATCATTTTTCTCACTACCCCAGTTAACTATGACTGTGTGGACCTAATGCCCACAGTGTTATTTCATGTTTCTGTTTATTTATGTTATTTCATATTTATTATATTGTCTTATTCATACATAATGTTGTTATACAAGTGCATATAGCTATATAAAGTATACCTATGTATTTTACACACCTGGGACTGGCATGAAAAACTCGCAGATTTTGCTCTCTCACGGGGTCCATTTTACCTAACCCCAGCGAGCTTGAAGGGAATACTGTATGTAACAAGGGCAAGATGCCATCTCACAGGCCGCCTCATTCCTGGTTTTTCCCCGTCACAGTGAGTCAATCGTTAATTGAATTAATGCTAAATGACAGATACTTGTACAGTATAGTCTGGATTTAAACGGTTATTGTTTAGGCGTTTGGTCATTTACGCGGAGCCTTGCCAGAATGAAATGTTTTAATTACGCGGTAAATTTCATCATTTATGCGGGACGCGGCGCTGGCAGGGTGCGCACAAGGTCGCCCAGTCATCAAAACATTACCGAGTTCTTCACCCGCCACCCACCACAGCCGGCCCAAGTCAGTGATAGTGAGGATATGGACTTTGAGGGGTTTGACAAAGAGGCCCTGCAAGCCTCTGTGGTGGATAGTGATACAATTGATACAAGTGATACACCTGAGGGCCAATAATCTGCCCTCTGCCTCGGAATCAACCCCCCATCCCTGTGTGCCCAGCCATCTCTTCTACTAACGTAAGTGTTAAAAAACCTAATATTATTGATATTTCTCTTAAATATTAATTGTGTGCATAGTGCATACCATCATAAAATTAAGATTTTATTTTTACTACAACATACGTATTGTGTCGGAGAAAGTGGAGTTTGGGAGTCGGCCCAGTCTCTATTTCAATTAATCCCATATGTTCTGTTATTTCGTTTACGCATTTCTCGTTTTACGCGGACCTCCACGGGTTCAATTGACCGCGTAAATGCAGACTATACTGTATAATATAGTGATAAATTTGGAACACAGTCTGATTTATAAAGAGAAATTCCAGGAAAAATATAATTAATACTGTAATTCCAAATACCTGTAATTTAACTGACATAGTCATATCAATTCTGTAACATAATAAAGACAACTGTTTTTTAATAATAATAGTTATACACAAAAGTCAACTGTGTTTTATTGTAGAGTATTATACATACAATTTATTATCAATGATCTCTGCTTCCAACCTGTTCTGTTTACATAAGAGGAGGAACCAACCTATATGAGTTTTGATGAGGATCTCCTTGGCTGGTGTCTTGCGCTTCAAGTGCTGTAGTGTGTCCACCTTCAGCTCAATAGAAGTATCACTTCGCTCTAGAACAACCTTGGCTCTCTCTAGTTCTTCTATTATCACAACACCCTGAAATTATACTTTATTGTATAAAAAAATATTACAAGAGCTCAATAAATTTATGTCTACTCTAAAATTTATATACACAAAGCTGTAATCACTACAAATGGAGGAGTGAGATGTGAAATACAATATATTTCTAAGGCAATGAGTAATGTGGTGAGACCCAGCCAATAAGCCATGGGCTTGTTAGCTTAAAGGCGGGACACTATCCTTCAGGACAAGGTTCATACTGTTAGCCATTTTCCCAAACATTATGAGCCAATAAACAAGAAGATACAGTACTGTAGTGTTATTACAGAACTGTAAGCATAAGCATGAGGAGAGAGTTTATCTGGCAGTGTGAGGCACTGGTTGGCTGAGTACTGCACTGAGCAGCACAACCTGTACTCACTGGTTGAGTACATAGCTTAGAAAAAAAGACTAATGAGTGTTATCTGTTCTCACAAGGAACAAACAATGAACTATGAGTGTCATGATGCAAGAGTTTCAGCATATAGGGTGTGAGATGCATCAGCCAATCACAGGCATCCCATGACAGTAGTGACAAATTGTAGGTCAGGAGCACTCTGAGCCTACCCACCCACGTGCCTGGCATGAGTCTCCACGTCGGAAACATGAAGCAATCTTTTGGAAATTTGTTTGGATAACCAGAATGGAGAGATTTTCCTGGTATGTTTCAGAATGCTAAAAAAAACATGCTATTGGAGAGTACACTTATCTTTCCTTCCTATTCTTGTATCACTACTATACAGTATAGAGTTTTTAAATTATTAAAAAAAAGAATTGTATCGTGTAGACATTGTATTGTACTGTATATGCATTACAGTATGCTTAGTCTGTGTGTTCAATGATCACCTATGGAAGGGTCACTTTTGGAAACCATCGGTAACCCGGTGAGTGTCCGTATATTGAGATCCCCTTCAAAGATGTTTCTATGTCGGGCGTTTGTAACATCGGGACTGCCTGTTTATAAAACCTAAGTTATTATAAAGAAACACAACATTAAATAAGATAATTGTAGCAGTAAGATATGACATAAAACACCAGCATATGACTGTGTGGTTGATGAATGTTCCTCTACAAGATTTTGTCTAAAAGAACAGAAGAAGAAGAAGACTCTGTTGGTACTGTACCTTTAATGACTCAAGAGTTGCTTGCTTTAAACAGTTTCCTCTTTTACTTGGACTTGATGGTGAGCTTCTAGGTTTACGAATGACAAACTTATCCATACTTCACAATACTTTCCAATAGAGGCTATGCTTTTTCTGTACGTCACCTGCCTGAAATATGGAAAAAATCAGAAACAATGTGTAAGAGACGGACAATTATATAAACAATTCACGAAGAGAAAATTAATCATTTGTGTTGCTCTCTGTCAGACAAGTGCACGATAATTCTCATGAACTGTATTAAAAGTCTTATGAGAGTTACACAGATTATCCAAATTTACCGAATTAAAAAGAAATACAGTACCCAGTATAATAGAGTACAATAAACCTGTGATACACTACGGGGAGGATTTAACTGAGTGCCAGCCTCTATTCCCGCCCCCACAAAAAAAAGAAAATGAAGCGATCTGATAAAAGTTAGATAAAAAAATTTAAAGCAAAAGAGGGAAACTGATAATCACTGATAATTTGACAAGGGGTAAGACAATACAATACAGTGGAGTGACCTGTTACACCATATAACTGTACAGTGGGGTATGTTATAACGAACGGATCCTACTACGAATATTCCTATAACGAACGGTTTTACCTATAAAATTGAGAATGCTATAACGAACGAAACTCCTATAACGAACATTATTTATTTATTTTTTTTTCTAATTTATTGTTTTTTTATTACAAATATTAATGATATTCTTTATTTCAGGGGTTTAGATGCATATTTATGCACGTTTTTACAATTTTTACAATTTTATATTATATTTTTCAGTGTTAAGTGGTTGTATTTGGGGGCCTGGAACGGATTAATCCTATAACGAACGAATGCTATAACGAACAAGGTTCTAGAACCAATTAGATTCGTTATAGCATACCCCACTGTACTTGATAATGATGAAGTGTTCCTACGGAGGGCTGGCTGTCTAGGATAAACAAGCTTGAAGAAAATACTGCACTGTACTGTACTATACAATACTGTACTGTATGGCCAAAGTCAAGCATAAATTACTGCTGATTGTTTTTGAGGTACAAAGATTCCTTCTGTGTGTTGTAGAAGTACTGTAGAGGATAATTACATGCATCTTTAAAACTATCTTAATTTCACCTTTCATTATAGAAGACATTTTGGTCAGTTTTCTAGTTCTTCCAGACAGCAACTTCAAATTTTCAAAATTTCTAGTTTTGTGAAATTTTACAAAGTATTTACCCAGCCATTTTGCTAGATAATGAATGATCGTGTATCAAGTCAGGTCATCAACTGTACTTTGACGAATTATTAGAACACTCCATCGATGAACTAAAACCTGGCTAAAATCACAGGAGTCGTTAGCAGTTTACCTTCATTTGTCGAGGAATGCAGTCAACTTCCACAAGACTAAAGTTAAGATTTACACACACACAAAAAAGTTTCTCCTCTAGTTTGGCAACACTGTACACAAATGCTGCGGCTTCTCAGTTGCACAAGTATCGTGACTGTCGTTCTTTACGTACACTCCCAGCGAGAGTTACTTTTATTACATTATACCGGGCATTATGAGCTATCGTATAGGAGTTAACAATACCTGCCTAACCTACCTATCCTAGGATGGAAGTATATTATAATTATTACTATTACAAGTTCAGTTAAGGAGGTTAGGTTAGGTTTTATTACCTTTAGTTTATATTGCGAGGAAGGAAGGTTGGTAAATCAATGACTGAGAAGTGTTCTATTGCTTAGCGTTTGGGGGTCGCTCGGTCAGCCGTGTTTCTCAACAGTGTCTCGCAAGTAAGGTGTTGTCGTGAAGTGAACAAGTGGCTACGTCCGCATTTAAAGGATAAAGAAGGGAAAAAAAGCAGAATACAAAAATAACCTCCACACCAATTTGTATTAATCTTCAGTTAAGAAAGAAGTGTTTCTCTAATTATATTTTTTGGTATATTGCTGGATAACCTGGTGGGGTGTGATGAGGGTTGAATCAAAACACCATTGACAGCTTAAGGTGTGTCGAGATTACCCCTCGGAATAAAATATTAGGTTAGGTTGTTTGGTTAGGTTTGGTTTCGTTCGGTTAAGCCCGATTTGGTTAAGTTAGGTTAGGTTAGATCAGATTAGGTTGGGTTAAGTTAGGTTAATTTTTAATCAAACTGTGCATATCCAGAACATTTTCAGCAAGGTAAAATCTCAGCACATAAGGTAATGTTTGAGAGCATCGCTACCACCAGAAGGAGTTGTTCGATTTCATTATTTTTTTCCACAGGTGCTCTTATCATTATAGTAAGTATTTTAAAAGAGGAGACATATACTAGAATCTAGTCAGAAATTACAGCCCATGACACCAGAACCTTGTCACGTGGTACATGAACTATATTACTGCCGGTCCGACTAATTACTCAAATATACCCAAATGTAGTCAAATATAGCCGGAATGAAGTCAAATAATGGTCCTACATGAATAAATCAGACTGCTAATCACTTCTCAACTAGTATTTAGTGTCAGAAAGTCACAAAAAATTGGAAAACTTACTTTAATCTGAGTTAATAAATCAAGTGCATGTACCTAACCTAACCTAACTTAACCTAACCTAACCTCGACTAGTATTTGGTGTCAGAAAGTCAAAAAAAATTGGTAAACTTAATTTAATCTGAGTTAATAGATCATGTGCATGTACCGACGGAGCGAGGAATTACCCAAATGTAGTCGCAATGAAGTCAAATGATGGTCGTACAAGAGTAATTCGGACTGCTAATCACTTCTCGACTATTATTTGGTGTCATAAAGTAAAAAAAAATTGGTAAACTAAATTTATTCTGAGTTGTGTTGGGTTAGATTAGGTTAGGTTAGGTTAGATTAGGTTAGGTTAGATTAGGTTAGGTTAGGTACATGCACTTGATTTATTAACTCAGATTAAATTAAGTTTACCAATTTTTTGTGACTTTCTGACACCAAATACTAGTCGAGAAGTGATTAGCAGTCTGATTTATTCATGTAGGACCATTATTTGACTTCACTTGACTTCATTTGGGTAATTAGTCAGACCCTATTACTGCAGGTTACAGTCACTTATGCTCTAAATCACATCAATATTAAACCTCATCTCAGTAACACATTAATCCTGCTCTAAATCACTTCAATATTAAACCTCATCTCAGTAACACATTAATCCTACCTAAGAATAATCACACAATATTACCAAACTAAAAACAGTACAGTAGTCTTACGAGCATTACTATCCAAACAGCAACCAATTAATATTCAATTATACCTTTAAAGATACAAAGAACAGAGTAAAATATGATGAAAAAGGAATATTCTTCTTAATGGTCAGTTAAAAGTGATAAAGGAACATATAAAGTACATGTCTCTCTCACCTTGTTCCTCTACACCAAGGGAACAACAACACTGTTCTTCATTAACA